GGTCATAAACACTCAACTGAGCGTAAGAGCGGAGCATGAAAATATGGTGTTGTGTCAATTCACCAGGCAGTGGCTGCTGCTGCTGATTATATGAGGCTTTACTGTGAATAACTGGCATAGAGACTACTACCAAAAAGCACAAAGGGTTAACAGCTGCATTCACTGCTCCTGTGTGAACGTCTGTGGCTGTGATGCCCTGCAGTGTAACGGACTGCTAGTTCACCTGTGAATGTCTTCATGTCTCATTTCTCTTCTGTCTTTTGAAGATCCTTCATCACATTCCAATCTCTTTGTCCCTCAGGGAAGGACTAAAAGAGACAGACATACAGAGAGAAAGAGATCACATGCATAAAGGTGCCTCTGTCACACACACAGTGATGGGGAAGGAGGGTGATACTGAGAAGAAAATAGGAAAGTGAAAAAGAAAAAGTGAAAGGAGCACTTGGATGCATGATATTGTTATAAAGCCGGTCTGACTTCATGCTGTCCACACACAGACTGACCACACATCATGTTGCTTATATAACTTTCCTGCCAAAAGCAGCACATGACAAAGGAACAGAAACAGCACGAGTCTGTCTCTGTCACTTCCCCTGGTGGTCAGTGCTTTCTTTATAGTCTCACACACATTCGTGTATGAGTGCACACAACTTCCCCTGCTTCCAGTCTTAGTGTAAAGTATTGTCGTTTGTACTGGTGTGTATGTGGTGTTAATGCATCCGGCCAGGCAGCACTGATACAACAGCGAGAGTGGAGATAAAGCGGGCTTTGTGTCCAGCTCAGGATCTCAGCTATAGAGTGGCTGAAATGGCACACAGCCATTGTCACAGTTCACTGCGGTCACACACACATACACACACTGAGAGAGAGCTGGTGCCCCCAGCACTGGCTGATATTAAAGGTGCAATTGCGACACTGTTAAACATCAGTGAATTGCTGCCATGTCATTTTGAGACTGATGTAATTTCTGCAAACAAACAAGCCCATGTATCCAGACTCACTGACTCCTTTTCCACTGTGTGTCACTAGGTTGGGTTTCACGGAAAATGTGCAGGATTGTAAAAGGATTCTTAAAACTACATTAATCAATTCTTTGGCCACTGACTGAGCAACACGCTGTAACCACAGTGCCGACATATATCACCTTAAAGCTGGTACAACACATGTGTTAGCAGCAAATCGCTTCCTATTCCAATATCAGAATTCATCTGGCATTTTTGGTATCTGAAATCTGACCACCTGGCAAATGTTACTCAGGTATTTATTCTCCTTTTAGCAACATTTTGTTCTCCACCATATCCTAAGGGGAAAGCTCAGACTCTTCAGTTGCAAAATGCTCCACATAGTTCATCAGCTAGTTGTCACACCCGTTAAAGTGCCATCAACGCCTCATGGAAGATGTTGTTCCTATCGAACGACCAAATTAACTGGTTATCATAATATGTACTTATTTGATTATTCACCTTTTAAACCCTAGCATTACGTCATAAGGTTGGTCAACACTCCCCATACAGAGAATAAAACCAACAATGAACCACCTCTGCTCATTGTTCATGTCTGTCGGCCCTGGATTAGCATATTCATCTGTGCCATAGACTTTCAATGTTGTTTCAAAATGATGATCAGTGAAACATATCATTGCACTGGACGATATGGTCCCTCATTACAAAACACAAGATCCTAGGGTCAGTTTAAAACACTGTTATTATAGAAAATGACTGACCTTATCCTTTAAAACAAAATTCACCATCTAGCTCCTTTAAGTATTATGCTAGACCTTGAGAATTTTAAATCAAAATTATATATCTGCCGCTGGTTTAAAAAAATATAAAAAGACAAACCAGGACAGGAGGATAAATACACAAATGAGTAAAATATGTTAATGCCACTGGTGTAAGATATAAACAGTCATGTATATTGAATGCTGGTATATCACATTAGCAGTCAGTTGTAACAATGTAAGTGATGTTCAAACCCAAAACTGACTCAGATAAACAAAAGAAAATAATGTTGTTTGTCAGAGGGAACAAACAAGAATCCAAAAAGACAGAACACATAACTTTACACAGGCTGAGTGACTGATGTGGCATCATTAAGACACATAGCTGCTCATTTTACGAGTCATTTCTGCCAGCTCATAACTTCGGTGCTGGCCGTACATGATGCATCGTTCTCCCCGTGACTCTTGAGGCTTTCTTATTTGTTCCCATCTCCCAAGTCACAGCAGCCTCCTTTTAGAGGACAAACCCTCCTTTGAAACACTAGCTGATCACTTTTTGGTAACAATGTTTTTCCAGAATATGAAACACTTCATTCAGTTGACTTTTTACCACACATTCATCATTGTGTCATTATGCATCTCTATTGTTTCCTTCCTTACTTTTTCTTAGTCTGACTCATTCTCAGTGTTTCCAACCAGCGTCTCCCAGATGCTTTGTCTCTGTGAAGTATGTATGTGTCACCTTTCTCCCACTTCCTGCTGCTATCTGCAGAAGCAGGGCCTCCACCTGTAGAGAGAACGGGGAGGGATAAGGTGCCAGGTTATGAATGCACCCAATGTCACCGTGTCCGTTATGCTTTCCTGCCCACGTCCACATAGAGCACGGTGTCCTCTGTCTTCCCCCTGGCCTGCATACCTGGCAGAACTGGCCTGCAAATACTGCACCTGCTAACAGATACACACTGTTAGTTAATATCAGAAATACCCAAGTCTAATCTTTAAATCAGTTAAAATGATGAATAGGTAAAAATAAGACCAAACAATGTTCATTCACTTTTATATACTCGAGCATTTGGCACTGTAGTTGATCTTTTTTGGGGTTTTCTGGCTACATAAGATAATGAGCATCTCATCATTCTAACAGAGACAAAATCATGTTAGCATTCTCTTCATGGGTTACACAAGCATTGTTAAAGAGACAACCCCCAGTTTGTGTCTCTTGGCTCTTAAAATGTGAAGGTATGTTTGTAATCAGTGAATCTGATGAATTTAAGTTGACTGAGGCTGAAGCTAATGTACTAACCCCAAATCAAAAAAGTTGGGACGGTATGTAAAATCTAAATAAAATCTGAAAATACTGATGTGTAAATCATCTGTGTCCTGTAATACAGGCTAACTCTTGCCTTTGGAAACAGCTAATGTATATCCAGAAACAGAACAAGAAACGTACACTGGGTGGCACTGTTTAAAAGTTAGAGGTGACCTGTGAAGTTTATTGTAAACAAAAATTCTGTTTACCTTTGGTTTACCACCCAAAATCCATTATGTGTGTCCCTGTGGTTCAAACAAACAAACATGTTGAATGCAGCATCATATTCATCTTGAAAATATTTTCTGTAGATTATTTTTGTCTGCGTTAAATGGCCATTGACTCTAATTTATATAAAAAGGTTAGTGGCTTAGAAGTCTTCTTCGCTACAATTGTCTACATTGCTATGTTTCTTGATGCGTTACTGTCACCAATGGACAAACACCAGAGTAGCATTCACGTTGCTGCTACTACTAGTATCTAGATTCAGCATGTTGGCTTAAGATCAGAATTAAATTAATTGTAAAAGGCCAAAAGAAGCAGGAAATCATGTTACATGTAGTCTCCTTTGTTGACAGAAAATACAGGAAATAAAAGGTCAGACAAATTTACCTTGTAAACCTCTAAGTATTCTATGGTGTACAGCAGCCAGTATAGAAATGTTTACATACAACGGTGTGCCATTTGTGAGGCTGTGTTGTGTCCACACTATCCTGTGACACTGAAAACAGTGACCTGGTTTTGTGTGAGGGATAAACTGAACAGAAATGTATCTATTCACTGTGCTAATAGCTTGCAATTTGCAATCTGTACGTTTTGAAGGAACTCTGCATTTCCCAAAGATACATCAGCAGTGTGGCATAAGAAAAACTGGATAATTAACGTGACTAGCTCTAAAAGCGTTCTTTGGGAACATGTTCACCGAAATAAAAGTTCCTCCGACTGTCAATTTAAAGCCCTCTTTGCAGTGTCTATAAATGATTTTACAAAAGGTTAGCTGGTGGCCTGCCATAGTACTAGTCCTAGTAAGTAACGCAAAGCTGTCACTGACTAGGCAACGGTGGCTTTGAGATCCCATTTACTGCCTTCCTACCCTGGGTCACGCCATGCTGCTCTTGGGCAAACTGTGTGTTTATTGTTCTCACAGGTTCACATGCACAGTGGTGCCCGATGCCGAGTAGTTGGCATTCACCCGAGCTCCCTGACACACTCACAGCAGTTCAAAGACTGGCAGAGCGGCGCGCACACAAACAGCAAAGGAAATCTCTTGTATTTCCTGCAGAGGAGGAAGCAGTCAGGGGGTGAACCAAGGGCGTAGAGAACTCTTACCACCGCCATCACCACACCACTGGCATGTGTGGGTGTGTGTAATGTGTGTTTATGTTTGGCAATTATATGTGTGGACAGCTGGTATTTATTTGTGTTTACATCTAAAGAGCCATAGATTCAGGGAGGCAAAGAGAGCGGTGGCTCTGCAGAGCTGAATTCTGTCCTTTGAAAGCTTTTCTCCTCTTCTTCTCCATTTTGGCACCTCCTGCATCTTTGGCCGTGAAGAATGTGATGGATGTCTTAGTTCTCAGACAAAGGGAGACACAGAAAAAGACAGGTTTGTAGAACATGATTTTGTCATCTGGCTGGGTGGCTGTATTAAACCTGCCTGGCCAAGAGGAAGCCAAGAATGAGATGATGATGCATCCATCTTCCTACTGTCATCATTTAGTATCCCAGTATCTCTAGTATCCTGGAGCAGTGTGTCGACGATTTATACTGAAAAACATCTTACTGAATCAAATGCAGCACACATACTCACACACTCCAGTGAACCGTGCTAAATAGGTTGACATACAATATTTATTTAGGTTCACAAAAATGATAAGTTAATTATCAGGTAGTCCACAAATATTGTGGGAATGGTCTCATACAGTCATACATGGGGGAACATACATGAGAATCCACTTAGGAAAAAGACCATCCAGAAACACTCTGATTTAATGAAATAAAGTATGAAGCATGGACAAAGGATAAAGTCAAACATGATTTAGTCTGAATAATAAAAAAGGAAGTTGGTTATTCATTCATCATTATAGTCACAAACATGTTAATCGTCTTAGGAAAACAAAGACCCCAGCTACTCAAAATATCTCATCTTACTCTTGATTCTGGTAACAAACTAAAAAGGGGCAGACTGTGCATTAAAAATATTGCTGTATGTCAGAGTCATCCCTGAACTCTCCCTCAGCATTATCAGTGGAACACGGACTAGGTTGAAATTAGAGACCTAAATGTTGTAAAAACCCCTCTGTAGTACAGTATCTGATTATGTATGTGTGTGTAGATATATGTACTGCACTGTACTGATATACAGTACATATATATATATATATGTGCATAAATATAAATTGTATATCTGAAAGTAGTCTGTAGTGTCCCCCCGGCCTGTGATGTGCTTCCCGAAGCACCCATTTTCTTGTCTTTTGTTTTGTCATATCTAATAAGACACTTTGCACTGCTGCAGTCCTTTTAGCTTGGGGGAATGGCACCCACCACCCTCATCTTTAACTCCACGTGCTCCCATATACATGTTTTGACCTCATGTATGTTTGCTACAGAACATGTTCACATTAAAAACACATCATGCAAAGTGGCGATTCTGTTTACAAAGATGGAGTTGTCACGTTTTCTTTGAACTGTAGCCGTTTTAGCTGTGACTGAGTCACTTTCCAAAAATATATATATATATATCAACCTGAAGTCCCACCCAAATTCAAAGCCACCTCCATTAACCTTTCAACAAAAACAGAACAATTACCATTAAAAACAATATTACATTAAACCTCGATTTCTCCTTTTCCTTGTAATAACCCATATCTCCAGAAAAAAAGTATCAAGTGGACAGATGTAGTCTGAGTCCAGGTTTAAAAGTGTCCGGAAAAAGCCATAGCAATAAGGATTGGTTAGCATAAACCAGAGCGGCTGCTGCCTTTAAGAAAAAACCTTTAAAAATATCCTGCAGTGGCGGCAACGGTTGGTTTAAGAAGAATCCCTGATTGGCTGAAAGAAGTCAGGTGACCACCAGGTGAGGTAAGAAAAGACCCACCTCTGACGATGAGGATGACAATACAGAGGTGTTTTCTCAAAACGCTATTTTAAGTGTGTGTGCGTGTGTGTGAAATGTGTGCGTATACATTTCTGATTACAAACTGTCCTCCCGTTCACATGCATACACACTCACACTCAAGTGCATGATGATTTCTGAGTCACCCTAAAACACTGCATTATATGTTCCTCCCTCTTCATGCAGCACAGACGGTTGCAGAAACACAGAACACCAGTGGCAAAAACACACTGGCTGAGAAGATGGGGAACAACTAAACAAAAAACACAAAATTAAGTCTGCTGCCTTGAATGTCCTTGAACATCAAGTAGAATCCTTGGGCGTGACAATTTAAAAAAAAAAATCTTGGTTTTTAGTTCAGTACTATTTCTCTTACCTATGCATTTACTAACAAAGATTTCAGTTGCTCTCTTATTACTATGTGTGTGCGTATCTTTTTTTCCTCTCTCTTTATTTTTGTAGACATTTGCATTGGTTTTCTCCTCTTCTGAAGTTGTCCATGTTGTTTTTCTTGGTTTTCTTGGTTTGCGTAGTTTCTGTCTGTTTCCACATCCATCCAACCCTCTCTACCCTCTCTTTCATCCCCTGGTTCCCTACCTCTCAGGCTTTTCAGTCCCATGTGGCCCTTCATCTCTCAGCTTCCATCGCTACACTAGCCTTCTGCTCAGCACCTGCATGCGGGTTAACGCCCGTGGGCCAGGCAGGGCAGGGCTGTGTGGGGGGCTGCCCCTGAGTCCAGAGTCCCTGTGGAGGTTGCGGCATATTGGGTATGTTTGGTGAAAGCCCCCAGCTGCCAACCTGAGGGGGCGGGGGCGAGGCGGCCATGGAGGCGGCCATGGGGCTGCCGCTGTTGAAGCTCTCGGACGCCTTCAGCCGCGAGAACATGGTCAAGGTGTCTGGGAAGTTGGGGGGCGTTGCAGGTGTGTTGGCCGGGGTGCACATCTGAAGATGAAGAGGGAGAGAGAATGATTAGGAAACCCTGGAAAAGTCACCCATAAATATGATATTGTGTTTCAGGCATCGAAAGGTGAGGTCTGTCCGCACGAGAGAAGGCTCTCTTTTTAGTGGCGTTTCTACAGTGGCAAGAGTGGTGGTGCAGGGGAAAGCCAGATTTTTTTACCCAGTATATTCTACTGAAGTGTGATTAGGGTTGAAATGACTAGTTGATCAATAGACACTTAACTGCTTTGAGCATGTGGGTCATGTATTCAGAGAATGACTTGTCTAAGTTGTGACAGCTTTATTTAAGATAGAGGTAGCGGAACTGGAAACTCTTCCTTTTATACAATGGATTTCTCTAAATGAGTGACACATACATTGGTCTTCAACAGTGTTATGAAGGGCAGATACTCCTTTAGAAGAAGCAAACTGTTTTGTATAACTGAAGGGGAATTTTGGGGAATCCCAGGTACTCTTTGCTTCCCCAGAGGGTCCTAAGGATGGCATTACAGTCCTTTGTTTACAGCCACTTCCTGTTTCAGTTATAATACAGCATCCAGTCTGATTTGAATTAGATCAATTGGTCTCAGCTAATGTTGTTTTGTGGACATCTCCTTGGCCTTAATATATCCCCCCTGTGCTCTGACCTCCTCTGACCCTCTATTGTGCCAGCACTGTCATTGTTCTACAGGTTCCTTTAGGGGCACACATCGAGCTCACACAATGCACCAGTGAGCCAAAAACAACACTGAACCTGCCACCTTGCAGTGAACAAGAGAAACAGTAAACCTTCATCATCATCATCATCATCATCGTGGTCCTCCCTACCATACCTCCTCACACACTGCTCCATGACCTGCTTCCTCCTCCATGTCCCGGACTGTTTGTGACCAGGAAAACAACAACCCACTGTTCTCCACAGGGAAGCAGAGGTGGGGCCATATTTAGCCAAGAGGCTTGCCGTTTAACAGTAAGAGCCCGGGCTGAGCAACTACCAGGGCAAGCACCTGCATGACAAAATACCCCTCAGTCATCAGGCATCCGCAATGGAAGAAAACAGCTCGGTTACTCCCAGGATTAAGATTACAGAAGATCATGTTTACTTATGATTCACGTACAACTAACATGAGGGAATATGGGCTTAGATTCAAATGAAATCAACAGGTTGTTCATTTTTTGGGGGTGGTTAGCATAGGGTGAGGATTTTCTGGAAGTGGGAGTCATAGGCTCCATGAATCAACTATTGGGAACAGCAGCTGCACTCATACATGAATACTGGGCCAAAAAATGTGAACATGCTGGGCAAGAAGCTGGAAAAAATCATTGCCCTTTGCAGACATCCAGAACTCAGGCTGACCTGTGGTATCTAACCTACCCGTCACCCAGGACGCTCAGATTATGACACTCAGCACTGGCACACAAGCAGCCTTCAGAAAAACAAATGAGTGACAGGAAAACTATCCTCCCTTTTAGGGGTGTAATCGGACCACTTCACCCTCTAAAAGTGCTGCAGCTTGCAGGTTAGTCCTGTGAATGCAGTGGGGGCCAGGCCAGGGGTTCTTAGAGTGCCACACTGTTATGAAAGGTGAGCGTGCCCACTGCGCATTCTGGCCGGAAATGCTGGCTCATGTCTCTGCGGCTGTTTCCTGCAGTAAAGAGACACCCTGGAATGCTGACATGAACTCCTTGATCCTTCCTGCGCTTGGCAGACAGAGGTTGAGGCTACTAGTTGGATTTGTCGTCCTCACTGTCCAGTCTGTGTGACTGGCACTCAAGTAGAAAATAATAAATGAGAAGCCTCCTGCATCCTCGATTACTGCCCAGGCTTGCAAACAGGTTGTCCACTGAGACCTCTGCATCTGATCTACTCATCAATAAACACACGAGCAGGTATTATAAAACTAAACCTAATATCAGCTGAGATACTAAACATTTCACATGTAAACAGCCATTTCTTCTTTTGCTTCCTATGTAACAGTAGACCAAAACAGGAAAGATGTGTGAGGGAGGCCGATGACAAAACCAGCATCCAAGACCATGTGTACATCTCACAATTGCCCGCCTCACACTCCTCCACTCATAAAATAACACAGCACACCTCCATGTGTCTGCCATGTGTCTGTGCTGGAGTTGCAGACGGTATCGACCCACAGGAAAGAGGATCTGGTCCAACAACACAGCAGCTGCTGGGCTGTCTGAGGTTGGATCTGACTGTTGATCCAGTGGATTATCTGGTGGATAATTAGAAAAACAAGCTTCCCCCTGATGAAAGCTTCAGCAAATGCCCAGACCTGTCAGCCCCACTACTGTTACGCTGGAACCTCCGCCCACATAAAGGATATAAAGAAGCATCACATCTTTCACTCCCAAGCAAAATGGGTGTCCAGTCCAGTGTAAATCACACAACATTTACTGTGGTCAGGTTTTAGGTGCACATGACCATAAAGATTAGAGCAGACTGGTGCAGTACAACAGCACCAGAAGTAAAAAAAAAAAATCCACACAAGTTTCTAGACTAAGATTAAAAACTGTTGCACTGGTGCAGAATACTGAGGAAGCAGCAGGTTACTGCAGCAAGGACAGAAACACACCGCAAGAGCTGCTGAGACCAGACTGAGGCCCAAATCTAACTGACAGCATGTGGGCCACAGCAAATTAGTCATTCATTTATAATTCATTTGTTAAAATCAATACCTGTGTGAGCATACACATAAACGCACACAAACACTGATGTAAACAGTATCTACAAAGGGTCTGCAGCTGTGTCACACACATGCAGGCGATATGGGGTGAGACCCACGTGAGGTAAGCTGGAAGACAGACATAGGACAGAGAACTGATCGGCTCTTACTCAAAAATCGTGTGCATACTCTTCTCCAACTGTGGGTCTGTGAGATATGTTTTAAATGTCCTTTTTTTACAAGAAACCACCTAGCACTTTATTAACTAAGATAATACCAGAAACTGATTATGTAAATGATGCACAGACTGAATTACCTGATCACACATGCAACATTTAAATTAGTCAGGTGCTTGGAGTTGCCAAGGGGGTGCAAGAGAAACTAAAATTTCAGGTTTGTAACATGTCCTTCTTCTGCTTTATGGTGTATAATTTATTTGAAATTTAAAAGTATATTGAAGTACATAAAATGCTGTAACTCTTATTAGAGATGCATTTTATAATATATTTTGGACGTTTGATACATGGCTGTGTCTTGTCTGTCAATGTCTGACATGAAACAAAAATAAAACTGTACAAGCAGCCATTATTAATTCCATAAGTCATGACATATTGTATCTGTGTACAGGTTTGGGGTAAATATACAGTAAATGGAAAAGAAAGAAAGAAAAAGTATTCTGTGCAACTGCTGTTTATTTTGTGGGAACATGCCAGTTCAGTGATGTTAGGAAGCAAAGCAGGAGGTCCAGTCAGGTAGACTTGTTTTCAAACTGAGGTTACTGTGACACAGTAAACTGTCCACCAGTATTGAGAAACACAAACAGATGTTGACAGCTGTATCAAGGTGAGAACCTTCAAAATGACAGACTGCGTGTGTCTGCCTAACAGCATATACAGCAGAAAGTGTGTTACAGAAGCCATTTGTTCAGGATCTACAGATGGAGAGACGGGGGAATAACAGACAGCGAGAAGCAGTTTGTGTTCAAAACAGAGCCGCAGAAACTAGTTGCCATGGGGACGGTTGTTATGAAGCAGCAGTAAAGATCTCCTGTTGACAGGCCGCCTGGCTCTGTGGCCACAGCGGCCAAGCCCTGTCCACCCTCTCTTCAAGCCAGTTTGCTGAGCCCAGCGTGAGGAGCGCATGGCTGACTGGCAGCGACCGCTCTAAACACGCCTGGCCTGAGCCTGCGACAAGGCTCCACAAAACTTAAACACTCCTCCATTTGTGTACACATACATGTGCTTTTGTCCACAAACAGATGAGCTAGAGCTCCTTCCAGTCTAACCGACCACATTCCTCAGAAATATCAGAGTGTGAATGTGGCAGGCTGAAAGGAGAAGCTATCTATTTTCTTACCTACTTATGCAGAGGGTCAATCTTGTGACTCTGAATGCGACAACCTCCATGCAACATTCACCCCAGTCTCTCTTATTCAGTCTTGCTGGATGTTTATGTCCAGCTGCCACATGACTTTTAAGCCAAACGATTCAATAAATGAAACGTGATCTACTTGTTTCCATTCATTTAGTTGAAGCGCTAAAACAGACACTTCCTTACTGACCAAAATGCCATATTCAAGTAATACTGAGAAAATTACTGTTGTCCAGTTTCTGCTCTCATAAAGAAACACACCAACAGAGGTACTTAAAACGAGGACTGCAGGTTTTATAATTAGTTACTTTTTATTGGATTCATCTGACCAAATACGCACCGCTGCTTATCCAAACTTTGTCTCTCTGCTCAGGTTTGTGACACACACAAAAACTCTACTTTAAACAAGGCTCATAGGTTTTTGTATTACTGAGAATATTTTATTAGATGCAGTATTTCTGGCTGCATGCATCCACTTACAAAACAATACTTAGCTAGAACCCCAGCCTCTTCTTCACCATCATTCCCACTGCAGTGAACATTATTATGAATGTATGATGGGTCTGTTTTTTCCTGCTTCTCTAGGTTTCTTGCACTTCCCTCTCCCTCCTGTCTGTGGCTCACTGTGTCCAGTTCACACACTGTATGCCCGTGCTTGTAGCAAACTGTGAGACATGAGAAATGATGCTTCTCTGACACTACAATCAATCGAAGCTGTGTGTGTATGTGTGTCACATCTGAAAACTAGTTTAACAACTTTCTGAACTGTAAGGCAGTTAAAAACTTTTTAAGACTGCAAAATTTGATTTGTGGATTCTGGATATTATTCAGAATAACACATGCCAACAGTGACTCATCAGTGTGATTCTTCACTCCAGAAAACCTGTTAGCTTGCAAAATAACAGAGTGGATAATTGGAAAAACAAGCTTCTGTGGCTGAGCCCCCAGGCA